AATAAATAAATAAATAAATAAATAAATATATATATATATATATATATATATATATATAAATATTAGAGGTGTGAACCTATACTGGTCTCACTGTTCGGTTAAGATTATCATGCCTTTGATTCGGTTCAATTCGATATCTCAGTGCATTGATGATGCTTTCTTTATACAGTGTTATATTTTAGGAGGGAGGCTATAACAAGCTGTCTGTATAAACACACAGACACACAGCACCACACTGTCTCTCATTCAAACACACACAAACATAGACAGCACCAAACAAACACACACACACACACACACACACTTAAGCCCTCGCAACAGGGAGAGCTCGCGCTGAGCGGAGCAGAAAAACAAAAAAACAAAAAAAACAAGCACTTTTCCGACGGTCCCTTACTGAGAGCTCCTCTCAGCGCGAGCTCTCCTGGCTAAACACATATTGCGAGGGCTTAAACGGAGCAGTGCTCGTAATGTCGAGCGAAAAAAAAAAAGACAGCTGTGAAACATAACCAGCTTTGTCATTTTGTAGGAAACACACTTTAGATCTTTTTAGGGTAAGAAGTTTTTGAGTTATTGCCGTCTATCACTGAATGTGTGTCAGGAATTTCGAAAACAAAACCAACTGAACCGCGCTCATTTCTGGCGCCCCCATGGATATACAGCGACCTTAGCAGTTGCCTATGGTGCCTATGCCACGGGCCCGCCCTGAGTTGGCTGAGCGTTGTAAATACTCGCGCTCACCTCCCTCGTGACAGAGCGCAATTGTCCGCGTCTGCATCGCGGTGCATTGAAGAAACAATTAATTTTGACACCCCTAATATATATATATAGGTCTAAAAACAATTTTTTATTGATTTTGTATATTGCAAATAAATGCAATATACATAATTTAAATAGATATTAAATAGTCCCTTTAATATTCAGGGGTCGCCAAAGTGGAATAAATCACCAACGTATCCAGCATATGTTTTCTGCAGCGGATGCCCTTCCAGCTGCAACCCATCACCGGGAAACATCCATACATCCATTCACACTCATACACTACGGACAATTTAGCCTACTAATTTCCCCTGTACCACATGTTTTTGGACTTGTGGGGTAAACCGGAGCACCCGTTGGAAACACATGTGAACACAGAGAAAACATGCAAACTCCACATAGAAATGCCAGCCGAGGCTTGAACCAGCGACCTTTTTGCTGTGAGGCGAACGTGCTACCCACTGCGCCACCTTGCAGCCTGAACTTATTTTATTAACTAATAAATTTTTTTATCTACTAACCCCAAACTTGTGTCTATAAACCCCAAACAAAATGTGAGATCATGACAAAAATTCTTTGGACTTATTTCTATTAACTTCCACGATATATAAACTTTCTTATTTGCATCGCATTTCTGATCACAAAAATGTGCTGATATTCATTAAAATGACTCTCCTGCTTTAGTTATATAACTGAATCAGTTCCCTAAAGCTAAAAGAAGTGATTGTCCCTCACCACAGGAGTAGAAGACTGCAGGCCAGCCCAGACTATGGCAGATGAAGCCAGTGAGAGGAAGAGCCACAAATGCACCAAAACTAGAGCCGGCACCAGAGAACGTCATCAGACGAGCCCTTTCCAGTGGAGGAGCCCAGCGTGCCCACATCGCCATCATGGCAGGAAAAGTCACACCCTGGTAAACAGACAGACAGATGAAGACTCGCATATAGAGACATCTTTCACGCTTTCTGCATTTAAATGAGTCTTAAGGGTTGTTTATTCTGTAAGGTCCACTTAAACTTTTGTTTTGGACTAAAACTTAAGGATAATAATCTATGAGTAATAGCAATATTTGTCCTCTCTGGATGCTCCTCATCAGAACACACAATGTAAGTGGGCGTGGCAGACTGTAGACTCTGAGGTAAACGCCCACTGATTTGATTAACATATTTAAAAAATTCTATTCTTTTGCTGCTAATATTATGTCAGTGTTCGTAAATGGCCTTACCCTAAAATAAAGTGAATGAAAGACAAACTTTCTTACTGACATGGTCTAGAATTATATAAAAATTAGGAAAAATTAAGTTCATCTACTTTTTAATAAGATCAGAATGAAATAACATCTGAATAAAAAAAAACAGTTTGTCAACAATTTGCACAGTATATTGTAGTGTTTAGTGCATATTAACGTTTGGTTTCTGTAGACCTGTTTATTTACGAATGCAGCATGACTCAGTGGGCGGAGCTGAACAGGCAGAGTTCTAGAAGTGGGTGGAGTTTATACAAACTGTTACATAATATTGAAGAGTATTCTATTACTTGCTGTTTTGCAGATTGGCAGAAAGGCTCTGAAAATTACAGTATGGCTTTATACACAACAAAATTCTCTGTGTAAAATGTACTCAGTTCAGAGAGTATTTGGTCCCTCTTTAAATAAGGGCAGACAGATTGGTAAAAAGTAAAGCTGCTATTTGTTCAGTTGCTTAAGGATCCTCTGCTGAGATTTTGAGAGATTCAATGTATTCTATTTTCTTTTTTATGTTTCTGCTTATTAACATCAGGTGTTCGTCATCAACTCTCAATCATCACCTAATTAATCATTTCATTGTCTCATTAACTTGAGGAACTTTAACTCAATTTAGAGTGGGACCAAATACTATCTAAACTGGCTACATTTTACTCAGAGGATTTTGCTGTGTAATACGATAATCTCTAATGTGTCAAAAAACAAGCACATTTGGTTTCTCAGTTTATGACCCCTTTAAAGTACCCATAAGATTAGACACTAACCTCCCCGAAACCCTCCAGTGCACGCAGGGCAAACAGCCACTTAGCTCCGAGTTGAGCTGACAGCGGGGTGAGGAGCGTGAGGAGAGCCGTTCCCAGCACACCTCCACCCAGAAACAGGCTTCCTCCAAAGCGACCTGATAAATAACCTCCTGGGATCTGAGTAAACAGGTATCCAAAAAAGAAAGCACCAAGAAGCATTCCCTGTGTCTCTGAATTCCACGGGTATCTCGGAATCTGGGAACAGAAAATTAAAGGGTAAGAAAACGATCGCAAAAATGCTTCTCTTACTTAGATTTGTTGTCTTGTTTCTAGTCCAAATATCTAACAATTCATAAATCAAGAAGCATTTTATAGACAAGCAGAACATATTGTCTTGTTTTAAGAATTAAGATGTAAAAATTAAGAGAGTGTTAAATGAATAACAAGCAAGATAATCTGCCAGTGGGGTAAGCAAAATATATGAAAAGGAAAAACAAGATTTTGCTTATTGCTGGAAAACTCAGTTAATTTTGGCATATTATTTCTCAAAACAAAACAATGTTCTTTGCCTTTTTTAGAAAATGCTTCTTGATTTAAGAAATGTTAGACATTTGGACTAGACAAAAAAATCTAAGTAAGAAACATTATTTACATTATTTCAGAGTATGACAAGAATGTATAAGTGGGTCAAAGATGAGTCTTTTATTTTGGTGTCCAAAAATAAAATAAAATAACAAATAATAAAATAAAATAAAATACAAAATAAAAAAAATAAAATAAATAAATAAAATAAAATAAAATAAAATAAAAAATAAAATAAAATAAAAAATAAATAAAATAAAATAATAAATAAATAAAATAAAATAAAAAAGAAATAAAAAAGATATAAAATAAAATAAAAAAGAACTAAAATAAAATAAAATAAAATAAAATAAAATAAAATAAAATAAAATAAAATAAAATAAAATAAAATAAAATGTAGTAGGAGAGTAGACAGATTAACAGAGTTGGAGTCTGGTTTGTATTGCCGGCAATTTTTGAGTGATATAATGTATGATAGTCATTATTTTAACTGATATATATATATATATATATATATATATATATATATATATATATATATATATATATATATATATATATATATGTATATACATACATAATAACAAGCAAAAACTTTTATTTTGTTGATGCTTGAAATTGTTTTTATTTCTAATTTATACATATATACAGTTAAAGTGAGAATTCTTAGCCCTCCTATCAAATTAAATACAAAAAATATATATATTTTATATTTTTACCCCAAATTTTTTTGGATATTTTTTTTCAAACCATTTCTAATCATAATAGTTTTAATAACAAACTTCTAATAGATTTATTTTATCTTTGTCATGATGACGGCACATAATCTTTTACTAGATATTTTACAAGATACTAGTATTCAGCTTAAAGGGACATTTAAAGGCTTAACTATGTTAATTAGGCAAGTCATTGTATAATGATCGTTTGTTCTGTAGACATTTGAAAAAAAAATATTGCTTATTGGGGCAAATAATGTTGACCTTAAAATGGTTTAAAAAATCTTTCGTTCTAGCTGAAATAAAACAAATTTTCCTTGCTCCATTCAATATCACTTGAGAAATATTTGAAAATTTCACAGGAGGGCGGATAGTTTTGCCCTCAACTGTATACAAAAAAAATAATTCTTACCCCTTCTGGCTGTTCTGAGCTTTGGCTGTTGTTGTTATGCGCAGGGGACGGTGCTGGACACTCATTTGATATACTGCTATTAGATGATGGCTGGTCATTGGTCCCATTAACCATTGCAACCATGGCAACACTGAGGTTTACACGCAGCCCATAAACCACAGCAAAGCCAAAGAACATCATAACAGCCAGATTGCAGCGTACAGAGCAGCATTTAGGAGGCACTGTTACACACACACGCACACACACACGCACACACACACGCACACACACACGCACGCACACACACACACACACACACACACACAAACATACACAAATACACACAAACACACTCTGACATGTCAAGTAATACATCTTTTTTGTTTTTTAAAAAATTGATACTGAATTAAGGATGCACTGAAATTATCAAATAACAAGAAAGATATAGTTTACAGTTACAAAATGTGTTTATAGCTTTTTGTTTAAAACTTTATTAATCCCCTTGGGGCAATTCATTCTGATATCTGTGGTGCTTCAGAAGTATGTAGCATAATTAACACAATAAAATAAAATAAAATAAAATAAAATAAAATAAAATAAAATAAAATAAAATAAAATAAAATAAAATAAAATAAAATAAAATAAAATAAAAAATAAAATAAAATAAAATAAAATAAAATAAAATAAAATAAAAAATAACAATTTAAAAAAACAATAAAGTAAAAACAAATTATAAATAAAATAAAATAAAAAACAATTTATAAATAAAACAAAACTAAATTAGATTAAAATAAATCAATTTACAAAAAAAAATTAAATAAAAATGATTCATATATAAAATAAAATAAAATAAAAAGGATTTGTAAATAAAATAAAAAGTATTTATAAATAAACTAAAATTTATTGATAAATAAAATAAAAAATATTTATAAATAAAATAAAATTAGATTAATAAAAAGGATATATAAATAAAATAAAAATGATTAAAAAATAAAAAAAATTATAAATAAAATACAATAAAATAAAAAGGATTTATAAATAAAATCAAATAAAATAATTTAATAAATAAACTATTTTTAAAATAAAATTAAATTAAAATTATTCATAAATGAAAAACTTAAATTAAAAATAAACATATTTATAAACAAAATTAAATAAAAAAGGGATTTATAAATTAAATAAAAATTCTTTAAAAATAAAATAAAAATTCTTTAGAAATAAAATAAAAATACTTTATGAATAAAATAAAATTCTTTATAAATAAAATAAACTAAAAAAAATCTTTATGAATAAAATAAAATTAGATAAAAAAAATAAATTGATTCATAAACAAAATAACCATTTTTTATTTTAAAAATAAAATAAACTAAAAATTGTTATAAATAAAATACAATAAAATTAAAGTAAAAAGTCATATTTGAGAAATGGCTGCAAAAAATATTAATCAGTTATTATTTTTTTTATTGTGTTAGTTCACAATTATTTGTTGTATTTTTGAACAAATAATTGCTCAAATAAGTCATCATTCTTTGAAAAACAAACATTTGCTTGATATTTGAATTACTTTTTGGGACTTACTTAAGTTCAGTCAAATGCACAAGCAATTATATTTCATGCAGGTTTGTAATAAATCACAAAAGATCAAACCGCAGACCAACCTTTGATTTCTTGCACTTCTTTTTCAAGAAGCGGTGCTGTGTCACTGTCCTGGTCATCTTCAGTTGTGTTGATGGAGTAACCGTCTTCTAGTGCCATGATTGCATAGATTAAGCTTTACGTTTATGGACTGAACATGAATTAGCTGAAATATGACATCCACAAATCCTGAAATACAAAACCAGGGATATTTCAGATACTGACACAGTAGTTTATCAAAATCCATAAGCAAAATTCTGCCTGGGAAAGACATTCATTCATTATCCATCGGCTTGGTCTTTATTTCTGAGGTCGCCACAGCCGAATGAACCACCAACTACTCCAGTATTTGTTTCATGCAGCGGATGTCCTTCCTGCCGCAACCCAGTACTGGGAAACACCCATACACACTCATTCACCTACACATACTCATACACAACAAACAATTTAGTGCCTCCAATTCACCTATAGTGCATGTGTTTGGACTGTGTGGGTCATGCCAATATGGGGAGAACATGTAAACTCCACAAAGAAATGCCAACTGGCCCAGTCGGAACTCAAACCAGTGACCTTCTTGCTGTGAGGCGACAGTGCTAACCACTGAGTCACTGTGTCGCCTATTTTGGACTTGAAACATTTATTTACATATTGAAAAAACTCTATTGAACGGTACTGAGCTGTCTTTAATATGATTAATGCAACTTATCCACTTAATTCTGGGGTTTACAATATTATATTTGAATTTCCTTGTTATTAAATACCATTAAAGGGATGGTTCCTCATTTCATCATCCTTCATTGTTCCAAACCTGTTCGAGTTCCTTTGTTCTCTTGAACACAAAAGACCATTGACTTTCATTTTGTTCCAACATTCTTCAAAATATCTTGTTGTGAGTTTAACATAAGAGAGAAACTCAACCTTTTACATCAACCAGAGGATGTATAAAAGGTAAGGTAATGTACATTTTTGGTTAACTATCCCATTAATATGACTCTCCATATTAGTAAAATTGTTATATCATTAATGTTAAAGATAATTAATTTAAAAATAAATCTGAAATAGAGAGGAAAAGCTCACTTAGACTATCTGCATCTACTGGGATGTCCAAACCTCTTGTAGCAGCTTCATGGAATTGTGCACTGTAACAAATCATATAACACAGGTTTTAAACTTACTATACTGTCTAAGATATATCTTAAACACATGACAGCATTCGTGAATAACATATGAGCAGCACAAAGGTTAGCAGGACTGATCAGCTGACTTATTATATAAACAATTTTTTTTTGCCTAACAATTTAGGCCAAACTCAATTCCAACATAATCTTTCACAAACTGACTGAGACATGTCAGATACACAATGAATCAAATATAGAGCCGTATAAATTACACAAAACATACAAGCAAGCAAACAAACAAACAAACAAACGTATAATATAACTTAACAAAAACAGAACAACATACAGTGCAGGCATCAAACACAGAAACTCTAAGGGGTTAAATATAACCATATTCGTGAAACAAATTATTTTTAGCCCTCTCACTCTTTGTTTTTTTTAAAGTCTCTACATAAGTGGCAAACTCCTTTTTAAAGACAATCAAATTAAGGAGCTGGTTGATTTATAAATAAAATAAAAATAAAATTAGATGAAAATAAATCGATTTATAAATAAAATAAAATCTTATTCAAAAATAAAATAAAGTACAAATAAAATAAAAAAATTAAAAATGCAACAATTATTAAAATAATAAAAAATAGCTATTAAAAATACAATAAAATAAAAACTATTTATAAGTAAAATAAAATGATTTATAAATAAAATAAAAGCTATTTCTAAATCAAATGAAAATGATTCCTAAATAAAATAAGATTAAAATAAATTGATTTCTAAATAAAATAAAAATGATTTCTAAATAAAATAGCAATTTAAAAATACAATAAAAAAAACATAAATTGTTTTCAAAATTTTGCAATGATAAATTAAAAATTTAAGTAAAATAAGTAAACAATTTGCATTTAAGTCACCATCTTTGTTGTTCAAATGTACTCCAAATTTCACAATGTCCCAACAAATAGAAGAAAACAATGAAATATATTGTTTTATCTAGTTGCCCACATGAGACCAGAATCCAAACCAGGACCAGGATTAACCAAATCACAATGAAGAAATAGATGTTCAAAAGTTTTAATATTACTATTTCATAAATTGGCATTTTTCTCAGAAACTCCTTTGCAGGATAAATATCATACATAATTTTAAAATGTACTTCTTTATATTTTGGAGGAAGAAGAAATGTCAAATATTTGCATCTAATTTTAACTACACTCTTTTTAAAAGGTTGTAAAAATATAATTCATTTTAATAATAAAAATAATAACTTGACTTCTAGTTCATCATTTGAAAAAGTGGCAGACTTTTCCTGATGAATCATCTGCTGAACTGCATCCCAATCATCACAAATATTGCAGAAGACCTACTGGAACACGCATAGACCCAAGATTCTCACAGAAATCCGTCAAGTTTGGTGCAGGCAAAATCATGGTTTGGGGTTACATTCAGTATTGGGGCGTGCGAGAGATCTGCAGAGTGGACGGCAACATCATCAGCCTGAGGTATCAAGACATTTGTGCTGCTCATTACATTACAAACCACAGGAGAGGACAGATTCTCCAGCAGGATAGCGCTCCTTCTCATACTTCAGCCTCCACATCAAAGCTACTAAGAGCAAAGAAGGTCAAGGTGCTCCAGGATTGGCCAGCCCAGGCACCAGATATGAACTTTATTGAAGATGAATCCAAAGAATCTTGATGAACTCAGGGAGTCCTGCAGGAACGCTTTCTTTGCCATTCCAGATGACTTTATTAATCAGTGATTTGAGTCATTGCAGAGATGTATGGATGCAGTCCTCCAAGCTCATGATGGAGTCAGCCACAATATTCATTGTTTCCACTGCAGCATGACTTTATATTCTATACTGGACATTATTTCTGTTCAGTAACAAGACTTTATTTAAGAAAATCCAGAGCTTACTGTCCAAATTAAATCCTTAAAAATCAAGGCATGATCATGTTTTATTTCGGTAAAATAAGCGTAATCTAGAAGCCTTTGCTTTTTATAAGCCACTTCTGATACCAAATGATCAACAAAAATTCAAGTTATTATTTGTTGCTCCTAAAACTTGGATAACTGACAAGACTTTTAGGTAGTGTAACAGTAAAAAAAAAAACAGCTGAAAAGAGAAAAGCCTAAGCTTACTTACCATCAAGATGCTTCACAGACAGATGTTACTACTTGTGGATAATCGCTGGATGCTTCACAAAGATGATGACTTGTTTTCGACTCCTTCATGACCTTTAGAACGTTTTAATTTACTTTACTGATGTTAAATATACCGGGAATCATCACTACTGTCCCGGCTTTTCAGATAGTTTACGTGTCAAAACAGTCTCCGATCCGGTTTTCATGTTTTTGACTATAAAGTATTGATCACATGATATCTAACGTTAGACTTCCTGCTCTTGGAAACAGTAACATATAAACCATTCGGATCGACTGACGGTATCGGTTTCCGTAGAGATATTAAGATATATGACATACAAGTCTGATACCTGCAGGCATAAACAAACATTTTTTTTTACGTGAGCGGTGTTTTCTGAATGTCATGTGATTGAATGAACAGAAAGTTCTCACTGTAAGTACTTATTTATCTTGTTTATGTGTTTTGTTGAGTGTTTTGCTAGCTATTCTTAGCATCGCAACATCGACGTTTCCGGGTGCAAATGTTGGAGATAGGAAGTGATAAGAGACGCGTATTGTTATGTAGCAGTGAATCAGGGTTTTTAAATAAGTTTGTGCACCATAAGAAGCTGCGTTTGACATTTAAAAGTGAAGGTAAAACCACACAAATTAGCCGCGATCGACAATTTCACTGATTCACTTCCTGATTTTAGCGCTTTCCCTTCCCGATAATGTTTTTCTGTTAATGTTTTGCTCTTGTTCTTCAGATTGAGATTGAATAATGGCTCCATCGGCTGCTTTTCGTCTGTTGTCTGTCTCTGGATGTCTGCTGTTATTGTGTGGCACATCATGGGCATCTAATGGCACAGTTCCTCTGGTGATTTGGCATGGGATGGGTGAGAAACGCTACATTTATTCTATTACTGAATAAAGCACTGAATCATACATGACTTACTCAAAGCACTTATTGCAATACATTATGTCATTCAATGTTTTATGTGAGGCTGGGCCACAAAAACTAAGCATAATAAGTGTATTTCTGCAGAATAAATACACCTTATTGATGTATACTTTATGATAGGACGATATTTGGATGGAGATACAACTATTTGAAATTCTGAGGGTTTAAAACAAACCTAAACATTAATAAAATTGCCTTTAAAATGTCTAAATGAAGTTTTAAAACATTTACAGTAAGATATTTACAAAATTTCTTTATGGAAGATGATATTTACTTAATATTCAAATCATGTTTGGTATAAAAGGAAAATTTATTATTTTTAAATTTAGTTTTGGCATACATATACCCATGTAACTTAAGACTAGTTTTGTGGTCAGATATTAGTATAATTTAAGAGGAACCATGTAACACTAAAGTCTGGATATTTATTGCAGTTATTATGCTTTTTTTGCAGTAAACAACTAATGATTACGAACTGCAAACATTACTTTGAAGAGTCTATAATAAAACATTGTACACTACCTGACTAAAGTCTCGTTGTTGATCCCAGTTGTAAGAGAAACAAACAGTAACTTGAGTTGAGTTTCTAGTTGATAATTTGTAAAAGTGGCAGAGGGTCGATTTTTTTTTTTTTTTTTTTTTCCTGATGAATCATCTGTAGAACTGCATCCCAATCATCACAAATACTGCAGAAGACCTACTGGAACCAGCATGGAGCCAAGATTCTCACAAAAATGAGTCAAGTTTGGTGAAGGAGAAATCATGGTTTGGGGTTACATTCAGTTTTGAGTCAATACAGAGATGTATGGATGCAGTCCTCCAAGCTTATGGGAGTCAGACACAATATTCATTCTTTTTCTACCGCACCATGACTTTATACTGGACAGTATTTCTCTTAAGTGAAAGGACTTTTGTCTAAGCAAAGTCAGACCTTCCTGTCCTAATTAAATAATTAAAAATCAAGGCATGATCATATTTTATTTTGGTAAAATAAGTGTAATCTAGAGGCCTTTGCCTTTCACATGAGCCACTTCTGATACCAAATGATCAACTAGAAGTCAAGTTATTATTTGTTGGTCTTAAAACTTGGATGGGCGACAAGACTTTTGTCATTTTTTTGAAAAAATTATCTATAAAAACATGTTTAAAAACACACACACTGTCCACTGAGTTCACCTTGAGATTAATTGGATAAATATTCTCTGTTTTTTTTTTTCTTCAGGTGACAGCTGTTGTAATCCTCTGAGTATGGGTGCAATAAAGAAGATGGTGGAGCAGGAAGTCTCAGGAATATATGTGCTTTCCCTCATGATCGGCAAATCTGTTTTTGAGGTAGAGCAGGTTCTTAGCATTTTTTGTTGTTTTTTAGAAAGAGTGTGATTTTCTTTGTTTTTGTTTGTTTTTTACAGGACACTGAAAATGGCTTCCTAATGGATGTTAATAAGCAGGTGTCTTTCGTTTGTGACCAACTGGCCAAAGATCCCAAACTAAAGGAAGGCTACAATGCAATGGGCTTTTCACAGGGCGCACAGTTTCTGTAAGTATTTATTAATTCAAATCAGCTTATATATATATATATATATACATACATAATACATACATACATACATACATACATATATACACATACATACATACATACATACACACATATACACACACACATATATATATATATATATATATATATATATATATGTATGTATGTATATGTATATATATATAATTTTATTTTCGATTATTGTTTTTTCATAATCGTTGGAGGCTGAATTTTAAATTGAATCACACCGCCCTAATGTGGGTGAATAATAATCATGTCAATTCCCCTCTGTATGGTGTTGTTCCTTTCACAAGGCGAGCGGTGGCACAGCGCTGTCCAGATCCGCCAATGAGGAACCTCATCTCTGTTGGTGGACAACATCAAGGTAATCAGTTTGACTTGTTTCATATAAGTTGTATAATAATAAGTGAATTATTACCTACACACAAGGACATTTTCAAGTTTTCAAGCTCTTGATCCAAAATGTAAGCACTAGATAAAGATTCAAGCGTTTTCAAAGATTTCCAGCACCTGTTCCATACCTGCCAACATTTGGTTTTGGGTTTGGTGCGCAAGGGGACTGTACCAAAAAGTACCTTTACCCGGGAGTTTTCCGAGAGACAGAACAATATGGGAGACTCCCGGGAAAAACGAGAGTATTGGCAGGTACGACCCGTACAAATCCTATTTATAAATTTTTAAAGTCTGTTATATTGACATTGTATTAAATTCTTAATATTTCAGGGTTATTAACTGAATAGAAAGTGTTTATTTAAAATAGAAAGCTTTTCAGGAGCTTACACTTAGCCGATGATTAATTATATAAAGCTTGTTTGGCATGATGTCCTGGGAGAGAGCCCTGAGCTCAAAAGATCCTCAAGCCCTGGACGAATTTGCTTTATGAAGGAAAATACTACTGGTTAGGACCTCGACTATGGTGCCAATTTGGTTTTGGTTTGTGCTCGGGGGAAATCCATGCGAGCACAGGGAGAACGTGTAAACTTAGGCCCCGTTTACACTAATGCGTTTTAGTTTGAAAACGCATAAGTTTTGCTACGGTTACGCCAACCGTCCACACTACGCCGGAGTTCTCGAGCGCCGAAAACGGAGCGTTTCGAAAACGCTGGAGAGGCCGTTTTCATTTTGAAATGCTGCTGCTCCGTCTCAGTGTGGATGATGGAAAACGGAGACATCTGAAAACGGAGGCGGGGCTGCAGACGTTCGCCTCTCTGATTGGGGCTTTTCCTGAATATTAAGTAGCCTAACACACAGTTCAGTCCTGAATCTTCTCCGTGTAAGTTCAGACTTCGCAAGTTTGATCAAGGCTGCAGTCTCTTCTTCTCAGTTTGATATGGAAAAGCAGACTATACCGAGGACACGGGTAAATCTTCAAAGGGAACAGTGTACTTTATAACTTCATTCACATCACCCTGGCTTCGTTGTTTCACTTTCTCAACAATAAAATGTAAACATGATTGAAGGAACTGCCTATTTTCATTTTAATATTAGCAACTTAGACAGCAGACATGTTGAGGCGCCGTGCTGTATAAGATGAGCGTCATCTTCACTGTCTGGATATTTATAACAAAACGGAGCCGATAACAACTGCCTCCTTTCAATTTCAGTGAAAATACGAAACATCCCCTCTCTTTTGCTGAGTATCAGTTTTAAGAATCGATAATGGCCATTTTAAAAGTATAACATACAATAAGTTTATACATTATAGGAAATAAAGGCAAGCGATCAGTCAATATACAGAATGTACGTGGTTACATTAATCATTAACTTATCTTTGCGCTCAGCCAAAACACGTTACCTGAGAACAAGTAATAGATTCCAATGCCCAAAGTCAGGGAATATGTCGTTAGATAAAGACAACAAGATGAATGAAATATCCCGTTTAATAAATATAGTGAGATTAGATCCAGCGGGAGATGCTTGATGAGAAGTCTGACTAGCAGAGCTCTCATCTGGGTACATGGGCTGCAGCGCTTGCCCGAGAGCGTCTGTGTGGTCACGTGATGTGCGTTTTCAGCGTTTTGGTGTGGACGGAGAGCTGTTCAGAAACGCTGGATAAAACGCGAGTGTGGACGCGGATCGTTTTCATTCTACAACGCCGTTTTAAAACTAAAACGTACTAGTGTAAACGGGGCCTTAGAAACGTTGAGTGGCCTAGTAAGGAATTGAACCAGTGTCGTTCTTGCCGTGAGGCAACAGTGCTAACCACTGGGCTGCCGTGGTACCCAATCTAGAAAAAAAGGGGAAGGAATCGGGGTGGAAGGGGGGATTTCAAGACGAAGATGACTATAATTTGAAGATTGTGGTTATTTATAGTGACTTAGGAATCGTCTGATTGGTAATTCATGTGTTAGCTAATGCAGCTTCTGCTGTGGTCAATCATAAGCATGTATAAAATAAACTTCACTTATTATTATAGACTATAGAAGAGTTTACTTTTCCTCGAACCCTGAACAAAAGTATAAATGTTTTAGATAATTTTACAAATCTCACAATTTTGTAGTGAAAAAAAAATGATAGTAACTGATACACATGACACCTGATTGATAGTATCATAGTAACACATATCATATTTTAATATATGTCTGGCTGTTGAATATGTTTTTTTCCCTCCTGTTCTTGATCTCAGGAGTGTATGGTCTTCCTCGGTGTCCTGGCGAAAGCTCTCATATCTGCGACTGGATCCGCAAGCAGCTCAACTCAGGCGCTTATACAGACGCAGTTCAGAAACAGTGCGTGCATGATGGATTTCAGCTTCTCCTTTTTCACACTAAACTGATTATAACCAACATTTATTTTGATTTTATTCCAGCTTAGTTCAGGCGCAATACTGGCACGATCCTCTCAATGACGACCTGTATAAAAAATACAGCCTCTTCCTTGCTGACATCAATCAGGAGCGGGTGAGTTGTTTAGAAATTAGGAGTGTGTCATCTTAATAATGCATAAACATATTTAGCTATGTAATAAACACACAATTTGTTTGAAAACAATTTTTTTTGTCATTTTTACTGCAAACTTATAGAAACGATAATATAATTAAATGTTGAGGGGGGCCTTAAAACATTTTCCGGGGGGAAAAGGGGGTAACATTTATATTAGTGTAGTAATAAGCTTTTCACTCATCATAGCACACATGCTGCTAATGATGTGACAATAAACACGTCACTCCGCTACTCATCCGTTTGCACTGGCTGCCAGTTGCTGCTCGCATCAAATTCAAAACTCTGATGTTTGCTTACAAAGCGACTTCTGGCTTTGCTTCTTCTTATCTGCTCACACTTCTGCTGATGTATGTGCCTCCAGAAACTTGCGTTCTGTGAATGAACGTCGCCTCGTGGTTCCATCCCAAAGAGGGAAGAAATCACTTTCCCGAACTCTCGCGCTCAATCTGCCCAGTTGGTGGAATGAACTCCCTAACTGCATCAGAACAGCAGAGTCACTCGCTGTCTTCAAGAAACGACTAAAAACTTAACTATTTAGTCTCCACTTCACTTCCTAATCTGCAATTGCCTCTCTGGCTCCACCGCTAACTGTACTACAAAAACAAAATTTACTAATGTTTTGCTTCTTACACTTTACAGTAGAGATCTGCGCGGGACTAAATTTTGAATCCCGCTCCCGCCCGCACTTGCCAGGTTTTCGCCCGAACCCGACGTTATTAAGAATTTGAGATATTAAGAATTTGTTGTACCGCTGCCCGACCCGCCCCGTTTTCTGCCCGCCGCGCCCGATCACGCTAAAGAGCGGGGGAGAACAAAACCGAAAATCACCCAGCTATACAGTCCAGACAGCCAAGCTGTCTGTATAAACACACACAGCACCAAGCACACACACACATAGACAAAGCTCTCTCTCTCTCTCTCTTTCATACACGCGCGCGCACTAACACACACACAAGCACCAAGCAGACACACAGGCGTTTGCTGTTATATCAACTCAAAGGCATGTAATACCATATATCAAGTACCAATGTAATAACAAAAGGTTTTATATAAAGGTATATAAATACCTAGTCGCGCCAGCTCCGGGCCGCAGCGCACATTACTCTCGGGCCGATTCCGGCGCGGATGCGGCAGCGTCGGCTCGCTTACGGCCGGATTCGGGCAGTGAGTCCACAAGCATCCGGCCCGAGTCCGGCAGCTGGAGCCGGACCGAGTGGTAAGTCTCCGGCAAGCGAGAATCTAGCCGGAACTGGCCTGAGTTTATTTTGCTATTTGGGAAAGCTCTCTTTTTCTCTCTCATTTGCGCGCGCGCACTAAAATACACACACACAAGCACCAAGCACACACACAGGCAAAGCTCTCTCTCTCTCTCTCATTCGCATAGCAATATCCGTGATATTGCTAGACAGCCCGCTCCCGTCCCAAATTAAACCCGTTACCGACCGCTCCCGCGATTTATTCGGAAATTTATTCCCGCGTCGCAGAAATCTGGTCGGGTCCTGCGGCGCCCGCGGGACAGCCGCAGGAATGCAGACCTCTACAGACCTGAAACTTGCCAACAGCACTTATTCGTTGTTGCTCTTATAGTTGTGTAAATTGCTTCCTTGTCCTCATTTGTAAGTCGCTTTGGATAAAAGCATCTGCTAAATGACTAAATGTAAATGTAAAAAAGTGATTTGATGTAGGGAATAGTGACAGTGTATAGGGGGCGATTTCAGATACAGCAGATGTCTTTATGAATGGTTGATTGAATCATTGACTTGATTTGTTCAAAACAGAACTAGTTCTTTTAGGTACGAGTCACCATGTTGTTGCTCTGTGACTGTTGTATAAAATCAGTATCATATTTATGTTGACACTCATGTGCTGATATTTGGAAATCTTTCTTGTAGGATACTATAGCATATCTTGTAAATATATTTGGAAAATGAGGATATTTTGGTTCTGTCAGGTGGTGAATGAGACGTACAAGAAGAATCTGATGTCTCTGAATAAGTTTGTGATGGTGAAGTTCCTGCAGGACTCCATCGTTGATCCTGTGGACTCTGAGGTGAAATCTGAACTCTCTCTTTACTGAATTAGAAAAGCCGGAACTCTTTCTAACTGGATTGTCTTTGACAGTGGTTTGGCTTTTATAAAGCTGGTCAAGCTGAAGAACTGGAAACACTGCAAGAAAGCCCCATATACAAAGAGGTAAACTCATGACTACAGGCTGTTTTTAATTATTAACATTCAACTAAATACTTAAACAATAACATCCATCCATTGTTTTATTCTATCTATTGTTCTGTCCATCCATCCATCCATCCATCCGTCTATCTATCCAACTATCTCTCTCTCTCTCTCTCTCTCTCTCTCTCTCTCTCTATCTTTCTATCTTTTTTCCATCCATCGTTCTATCTATCCATCCATCCATCCATCCATCCGTCTAACTGTCTGTCCATCCATCCATCTGTCTGTCATTCTTTCTATCTATCCATCCATCTCTGTCGTTCTATCTATCCAACCATCCATAATTTTTTCATCCATTCATAATTTTTCCATCCTTCTATCCATGTCATTCTATCCATCCATTCATTCATAATTTTATCTATCTATCTATCTATCTATCTATCTATCTATCTATCTATCTATCTATCTATCTATCTATCTATCTATCTATCTATCTATCTATCTATCTATCTGTCTGTCTGTCTGTCTGTCTGTCTGTCTGTCTGTCTGTCTGTCTGTCTGTCTGTCTGTCTGTCTGTCTGTCTGTCTGTCTATGCATAATTTTTACATCCATCCATTCATCCATCAGTAATTTTCCATCTATCTATAATTTATCCATTCATCCATCCGTCGTTCCATCCATCCATAATTTTTCTATTTATCTATCTGTCTATCTTCCTATCTATCTGTCTGTCAGTCAGTCAGTCAGTCAGTCTGTCTGTCTGTCTGTCTGTCTGTCTGTCTGTCTGTCTGTCTGTCTGTCTATCTATCTATCTATCTATCTATCTATCTATCTATCTATCTATCTATCTATCTATCTATCTATCTATAATTTTTACATCTATTCATCCATAATTTATCAATCCTTCCATTCATCCATCTATAATTTTACATCTATCTATCCATCAATCGATAATTTATCCATTCGTCCATCCATTGTTCTATCCATCCGTCGTTCCATCCATCCATCCATCCATCCATCCATCCATCCATCCATTCATCCATCCATAATTTTTCTTTCTATCTATCTATCTATCTATCTATCTATCTATCTATCTATCTATCTATCTATCTATCTATCTATCTATCTATCATTTTTCTATCTATCGTTCTATCTATCCATCCGTCTGTCTGTGTCTATCTGTCCGTCTGTCTGTCATTCTTTCTATACATCCATCTCTGTCGTTCTATCTATCCATCCATCCATCCATAATTTTTTCACCATTTATAATTTTTCCATCCTTCTATCCATCTGTCGTTCTATCCATCCATCCATCCATCTGTAAACTACTCATGACATTTTTTCCAAGTTTTAAATATGTTGTCATTTAGAGCATTTCTTTTGTTTTATTAATTGACTTTTATAAAAATTAAGTCTTAACATTCTACTCAAACTAATAATTAAATCCAGAAAAGCTGAGAAGCCCACACTTAAGTCTTTTTCCATAGCTGTATAAAATATTAATATTAACCGATGACAACATGCATTACAAACTAGAATATGTAATAATTAATTAACTAAAATAACTCTTGTACTCAATTAAATTTTCAACATTAAAACAAAAGTTTAAAGTGAATCAGTCACACTTAATAATAATAATAAGGTTCTGTTAATTAATGCTGTTAATGTATTTACTAACATAAACAAATAACGAACAATACATGTACAGCATTAATTAATCTTAGTTCAACATTTACCAATGCATCATTAACATCCAAAGTTATGCTTATAATTCTGCATTCTGAGTTAACAAGAACCATAAATGACTATTTTCACTAGCTAGAATTAACAAAGATGAATTAATACTGAAATAAATGTTTGTTTGCAAATATACATTTACTAATAGGTAGTCAAATTGAAATATATTTAAAATATATATTACCTTACGGCTTTCCAGTGATGGGTTGCGGCTGGAAGGGCATCTGCTGTGTAAAACATATGCTGGTAAAGTTGGCGGTTCATTCCACTGTGGCGACCCCCAATGAATAAAGAGACTAAGCCGAAAAGAAAATGATTGAATGAATTACCTTACTGTAAAATATAAGTGCAAAATGTCAAATGAATGTGTTTAAAAGTCTCATAAGATGTCTTTTCTTTCTGTAGGATCGTCTGGGTTTGGCAGCGATGGATTCAGCAGGGAAGCTTGTGTTTCTGGCCTCTGAAGGAGATCATCTGCAGTTCACCCGAGAGTGGTTTAATGAGAATCTGCTGTCCTACTTGCTCTGAAAACACACTTGCTTATTCCCAATAAGAGTTTACACGCAAACGCGCGCACAGTGCTTTTATTTTCTGATTTCAGCATGTTCGTAACTATCGTCTCAGATACATATGCGATGACTTGTATAGAAATGAAGCCAGTCTTGCTTGTTTTATTGCACTGATCTTTTATTTGATTTAATGGAACCAAGAAATCAGGTTTACCTTGACATTTAGGTTTTAATTATACTAATTACGTACTCTTTTTAGGTCATTTTTGTTAGGCAATAAAAATACAGCGTACAAACCCTGTGGCCTGTGTTGTCATTCACCAAAAGAAACAATTATTATTTAAAGAGGTTAATTTTGAAGTCAATAATAAAGATCCTTTCATTCAAGTATATTTATTTATAGGCGTTATGGTGGTGCGGTGGGTAGCACGATCACCTCACAGCAAGAAGGTCGCTGGTTTGAACCCCGGCTGGGCCAGTTGGCATTTCTGTGTGGCGTTTGCAGTTCCTTCGGATGCTCCTGTTATCCTCACAGTCCAAACACATGCGCTATAGGTGAATTAGATAAGCTAAATTGTCGGTGGGCGAAGCAGTGGTGCAGTAGGTAGCCTCACAGCAAGAAGGTCACTGGGTCGAGCCTCGGCTCAGTTGGCGTTTCTGTGTGGAGTTTGCATGTTCTTCCTGCGTTCATGTGGGTTTCCTCCGGGTGCTCCGGTTTCCCCCACAGTCCTAAGACATGCGGTACAGGTGAATCGGGTTGGCTAAATTGCCCGTAGTGTATGAGTGTGTATGTGAATGAATGTGTGGATGTTTCCCAGTACTGAGTTGCAGCTGAAAGGGCATGTGCTGCATAAAATATAAGCTGGATAAGATGGCGGTTCATTCTGCGGTGGTGACCCCTGATTAATAAAGGTACTATGCCGAAAAGAAAATGAATGAATGAATATATATTTTTAATTTAACGCTGTGTTGGCAACAATGGCCGTATTTCTTGCAAACCAATCAAATTCCTTGTATTAAAAAAATCTTTTTTTTTTTTTTAACCAGAGATGTGATTTTGTTTTAATACTATATATACCATGTTAAATTTTTAACCACTGAATATGTGCAAGTGAACTTGAACACTGAAGTAAGGTACACTGAAAATTCCTTCTCGAATATTATATGTAATTTTTTTAAATAATACGGACAATTTTTTAATATAAAGAGATATACATTTTAAATAAGTAATTAAGGAGTTTAATTAAGTTTTTTTTTATCTGTGTTAAGAATGAATGAAATTTAGACAAAATTATAATAACGCGAGACCGTTAGTGTTGTGTAAAAGGGCACCTACTTTACATCTACAGCACAGGTGTCAAACTCAGTTCCAAAAGGGCGGCAGCTCTGCACAGTTTAGTTGCAACCCTAATTAAACACACCTGATCAAACTAATTGAGTCCTTCAGGCTAGTTTGAAACCTACAGGTAAGTGTGTTGGAGCAGGGTTGGAACTAAACTGTGCAGGGCTTCGGCCCTCCAGGAATTGAGTTTGACACCCCTGATCTACAAGATATAAGATACGATTTTTGGTGTCTCCAGGATTCCAATGTTTAAAGTTTCAGCTCAAAATTCAGCTCAGACTATTTATTATAGCCCCCAGAATCTGACCATTTTGGTGTCTTGAGTTTATAATCAGATAATCAGTTAAGATAAAATAATGTATAAACTATATTACATGTTGTTTCAATGATTAACTATAGTAATTCATTTTAATGTGACACAATATTGTATGCTTTTTTTTTTTTTTTTGCTTTTTTGACAACAAAGCGATTTTAAGCAAGTATGATAATATTAAGATCCTGAATTAGTTTATCACACTTAGACGGTCTATTATGTTTTCTTCCAGTCGCAACCCCATCTCATAAAATACAGACAATTTAGCCTACCCAATTCACCTGTACCGCATGTCTTTGGACTATGGGGGAAACCGGAGCACCAGGGAGAACATGCAAACTCCACACAAAAACGCCAACTGACCCAGCCGAGGTTCGAACCTGCGACCCAGTGACCTTCTAGCTGTGAGGCGACAGCACTACCTACTGCACTGAATTTTAAATTTATTTTCTATTAAGTGATGAAGCAAATCTTGTATGATTTTCTATAAGTGCAGCGTTAGATTTTAACCACAGTGTTTGTAAAAATTAACTTTAAAAGCGAATAGTCAGTCTTAAATATTACAGGTGGCATTTTAAAATATGGACTGCTGTATTTTTAATAATGAAATAACGTGAAATGTTTTCACAGAATAAATTTGACCTGTTATAGCTTGAAAATAAATGCAAGTTTTAAAAATGTAATGCACTAAAAAGCATAAGAAATGCATTAAACTGTGCTGTACAATGCATCAAAATGCTATTAATACATGTACAGCTTGTGCCATTTAATAATTCATTAATATACATTAATAATATTTACAAGAGTGTGCAATTTAATGCGTCATTGCAAAATTAGATAGAATAAATCACGTCAAAGACTCAGAAGAAGTGATGTTATTTATTGCAACAATTAGAATGGTGCTTGATCTCCAGTACTAATTCTCGGCCAAATAAAAGCAAATAAATCAAAAAGACAAATGATACAAAAGAAACGCCCTCCTCATGGCCTCAACATGATGTCAAGTACAGATTAAGAGTCTGGAATTAAAGCCTAAACTAGTCTAAGCATGGGCAAGAGGTGGACACGAGCCATGTAAAGCCAGAATCTGTACAGCAGACGGTCAGACATGAACAGTACCACAAGCCCAGTTCGAGCCCAAAAAGATGATGTTATCCATCATAACCACGGAATGCTCATTTATTTATTTATACAGGGAATGTGCATGTGCTCTGGAATACGATGAAGAAAAGAGAGAACTCCTAAAGCAACCGCATGTTGATTCAGTGTCATGATTGTAAAATAGTCGCCAATTCCTCCTCTAGATTTGACACAAATCTTCATTCTAATTATCCCTAGAAAAAAAACTATTGTAATAAAAAATAAAGAAGAATTGCAGTAAATGTCTGCATTGGTGTTTTGAAGAGGGATGTTTGTGTGCTTCAGATCTCAATTGCATATGCTAAACCGAAAATAAATGCAGTGATCCCCTAAAACACACACCACCTGACCATAAAAAAAAGCAAAACAATTATAAAAAAGATGAAAAACAGAGAGAGAGAGAGACAGAAAAGGCTAAAGAAAGAGGAAGAAAAGCTGCACAAAAAGGGTAAAAAAGCAAAATAAATATGCACAAAAAAGAGGGAAAAGCTGAAAAAAAAACGAGGGGAAAAAAGCAAAAAAAAAATACTTAAGAAAAAATAAAGAAAATGGGGGAAAAACTGGGGGCTGTGAGCAAAAAAATAAAAAATTATTAAGCTTTGCAAAAAACAAAACTTAAATAAAAAAAATTACGGGGAAAAACACCAAAAAAATTTAAGAAAAAAAAAAAAAAAAAAAGAGTAAAGAAAACGCAAAAAAAAAACCAAACAAAAAAAAAAACGGGAAAGCAAAAAAAAAAAAAAAAAAAATCTAGGGAAAAAGAAAGAAAAAAAAAAGGGGGGGGCAAAAAACTAAACGTAAGAAAAAAAGGGGAAAAAATCATTAGAAAAAATATATAAATAAAAAGCAAAAAAAAAAAAAAAAAAACGAGGTAAAGAAAAAAATTCTTAGGAAAAAAACAAAAAGGGGAAAAAGCTTAACAAAAAAAGCAAAAAAAAAAAAAAAAAAAAAATCTTTGGGGGAAAAAAAGAAAAAGGGAAAAAATAAGCACAAAACAAATCTAAAGGCTAAAGATAAAGCAAAAAAAGAGGGGAAAAAAAAGCAAAAAGACATGCACAAAAAAGGAAAGAAAGTTGGGGGGGACGCAAAATCAGCATAAAACAAAAGCATGACTTGCTTCCTCATGTTGGCCGTTCACATGTTATTTTGTTTATTATGGCTGCAAGACATCAAAACGAACATATGAAAACACGTCAACGGTTGGCATTGGTTTTCAAGTGCTAATGTTTGAATGGAGAGAGCGTTCAGCCTGCTGTAGCCGCTGTGATTGGCTACTCGGAGAGTTGACCTGTTGGCATGGACTTGTACAGTGTAGTTTAAGCTGGTCGGTCAGTCAGGTTGGACACTGCATGGGAGGGGGTGGGGGTTCACACAGCGGCTCTTTATCCAGCGATCTCGGTGGCTGTGGTGACCAGTTTACTGCCATCCCATACGGTTTTGAACTGTTCAGGGACTGGGATCTCAGTCTGGAGAGAAACAGAAGCATGAGCAATTATATACGGTCACAGTATTTAGTGCAATATCATACTTTTTCACACATTATGGTTCATTAAAAAAAGCTTGAGTTGACCTCGGATTAATTTGAGAAACAATTAAATATCGGTTAAAACTGGTTTCACTTGTATATAATAAAATTAAGTAAATTAAATATATATGCTAATATAATATGTATTACAATATGCATGTTAATTGTGATTAAATCGCATCCAAAATAAAAAAATTATATGCATTTTTTAATATGTATACGTGTATTTGTAACAGATATTTAAACATATAACATGTGTATATGATACAAGTTATATATTTTGTGTTATTTATTTATTTTGGGGTTTTTATATATATATTTTTAGGTATTTTAGTTTTTTTATTTATATTTAGATAAAACGTGTATATAAAAATTTTATGTCTAAATATAAATTAAAAAACAACAAATACCTAAAAATAAATAAAATATGTAAATGAATACTCTAAAAATAAATAAACAATATATAATTTGTGTTATATACACATTTAATGTCTAAATAAATATATTCTTTTAAATAATTAACTAAAATAAATACTAAAAACTAAAAACCAAATTTATAAATATATACCCAAAATAAATAAACAACAACAAAAAAAACTATAAAAAATACAATTTGTATCATACACACATTATCTAAACATTAAATAAATATAAAAAATATATAAAAATGAATACATAAAAATACCTAAAAAATTTAAATAAATGAAATGTATAAATACCCCAAAATAAATAAATAAACATTTAAAATATATAATTTGTATCATATACACATTTTATTTCTAAATACAAATAAATAACTAAAAGAAATGTAATAAATAACAAAAATAAATACCTAAAAATAATAACAATAAAAATAAATACAAACATAAATGCCCATTATTAAAAAATGTAATATAATTTGTCATATATACATTTTATATCTTAATAAAAACAAAAAGAAAAATAACAAAAAAAACTTTTTTTTAAACAAACAACATAAACATAAATACCCCAAAAAAACAAACAAAAAAAAACTATAAAAGTATAATTTGTACCATACACACATTTTATCTAAATATTTTTTTAAAACTATAAATGAAAAAAAATACCAAAAAAAAAAAAAAATATATATATATATTTATATATATATATATATATATATATATATATATATATATATATATATATATATATATATATATATATATATATATATATATATATACATAATTTATCATAAAAATTTTTTATATCTAAATATAAATAAATAAGAAATGTAAATAGTAAATGTAAATAACAAAAATAAATACCTAAAATGATTTAAAAGATACAAATAAAATATAAATACTCCTGATTAAATGTGTTGGTGGTCCTCCATGAACATGGTTGAGAAGCACTGATATAGTTTATACAAAATGCTTGAAATATCACACAAGCTCAGTACACCACCCAGCTGACACCACTCATAAATGAATTATTGCATCACTCACGAATTCTCCATCTTTGTTGGGCACCAGAACGTTCATCTCGGAGCTCTTGGCGCTGACGATTTCACACGACAGGGAGTCTTTGCTCAGGTACACGTGGCAGCCATCGGTCTTGTTGATGGAGATGGTTGGCACTTTACCAATAACCTGGACATTGAGAGAACAACAAAACACTCAGAATGAAGAGCACATGCAAAACAGACTGGACTAATACTTGGAACAATATCTGGGGACTTAAAGCAGTTATAATCAATACATTTAGAAGTCATTAAGTAGCTCCAAAAGCAAAAAATAATATTTAAAAGCAATTAAAAAATTTAGAAGTCACAAAATAAAAATTTTTTTTGTTTAAACATCGAATAACATCATTTTCAAACTAGGCTCCATGGAAATGTTTGTATAAAATGAATGAAAATTGTAGAAAATAAATTAAATAATTAATAAATAATTTAATAAATAAAATAAAAACATGTAATTAAACTAATTAATCAAACCGTATTAATTAAAAAAATAAAAACAGAATAAAAGACTAACAAAAAACATTAGTGGTTTTACAAACTAGGCTCCATGGAAGTGTTTATTTAATTTATTTTCTACATTTTTCATTCATTTTATGCAAACACTTTCATGGAGCCTAGTTTGAAAACCACTAATGTTTTTTTTGTTTGTCTTTTATTCTATTTTTATTTTAAAAAGTAATAAAAGGTTTGATTAATTTAATTGCATGTTTTTATTTTATTAATTAAATTATTTATAAATTAATTTATTTTCTACAATTTTCATTCATTTTATAAAATTCATAAATAATTTAATTAATAAAACAAAAACATGCAATTAAATTAATTAATCAAGTCTTTTTACTTTAAAATAAAAATAAAATAAGACAAAAAGTGGTTTTCAAACTAGGCTCCACAGAAGTGTTTGTATAAAATAAATGAAAAATGTAGAAAACAAATTAAATTATTCATAAATAATTTGATTTATAAAATAAACTCATGCAATTTAATTCAAAGAGATCAAACCTTTTTTTAATATAAAAAAACATAAGACTCAAATCTAGATTAAAATTGTGGAATTATAATATAATTCTTTAATATTTGATTACAATAAATGTATACTTTTGTTTAATACAAATATATTTCTTTAAATAAAAAAATAAATGCATAAATCAATACTGTAATAAATACAAGTAGGGTGAAAAATACTTTAAATAGAAACTACATATTTTCTAAATAATATTTCATACTCATTGCTTGTTTTCCCACAGTATAAGCCACAAAAGAAAAGCTATCAACTATATTTAAAAAATTCTAATTAAAAATAATAAACTATAATTCCCTTATACATTATATGATGTGAGCCCTTGCACAAGGTGGTCATTTTGGGGCATATTTGGTCAAATTGCTAGCAGGTTTCTGAATATTATAGGTGACACATCAATGCCATGTTTCAAGTTTTAATCCTTTTTAAAGGTCTAATCCCATGTTTAAATGATTAAAAAAATACATCCAAGCCCTATTTTCAGATCCACTACTCTCCTCTACTATAGTTGTACACGAATGCAAAGTGTCAATAATACACACCTGGATTTTAACATCTCTGCAGTTGATCACCTCAACAATTCCCACAACATCATCAAAGACGAGCCCCATCTTCTTGCAGTTATCTGCACAGAAACAGCACTGTTACGCTGCAGCCCAGTAGAGAAACAGTGGATTACTGCTGCTGGTGTGTAGTCTTACCTAGAGTGATGGAGTTGATCTTCCCCTTCACCTGTAAAGTGCTGTTGTTGCACTTAAAGCCATAAACCACCTGTTTCAGCTCCGTGTCGCTGATCACCAGATTCTGGGCGCCTTCTTGATTTTCCTGGAGGTGAAGACGACACACACAGCTTTATCTTTGTTTCCTATAGTGCATATTGTATGGGCGTACACCCAAAGTGCTTCACAATCACAAGGGTCGGGGGGGGGTCTCTTCACACCACCACCAGTGTGCAGCTCCACTAGGATGATGCGGTGGCAACCACAGGACAACGGCGTCAGTGCACTCACCGTACATCAGCTTTGGGAGGAGTGGAGAGACAGTGATTGAGCCCATTGGGTGGATGGGGATGATTAGGATGCCATGATGGGTAAGGGTCGATGGAGGGAATTTGGCTAGGACACCGGGGTTACACATCTAGGGGCCTATCATACACCCGGCACAGTGTGGCGCAAGGCGCAGCGCAATAGTCTTTTGGTAGTTTCAGCTTGGCGCAAGAGTCGTTTTGAGGCGTTGCGCTACGCTGTTTAAATAGCAAATGCATTAGCGCTCATTTGTGCGCCCATAGGCGTTCTGGTCTAAAAAGGAAGGCGTTCTGAGGCGGACCCCTGGCGCGTTGCTATTTTGAGAAACTATAATAGATTTTTCATTAGACCAAAACTAACCCGGTCTAAACTCCAGTGCAGAGTTGCGCCTCGCTTACACACTGCTTAATACACACAAGAGAGCAATAAGCAAATATCTTTACATATGAAAAAATTTAAATATTAAGGATATATATAGTATATAATAAGAATAGATATAGGATATAAATATAAAGGATTAAAATATTACAAAACATTATTTTCTAGCCTACATAAATATGAAAAACCACTGCTTATGTCTTCTTCATCTCGGGAGGCTTTTTCAGTTCATTCATAACAATATTCTTTTGTATAATGTTATTATTATTAGCAGTATTATTTAATATATCCATATTTATATTTGTTTTATTAAAAACAAGCTTAAATTTGCCCACCTGCAGGTTTTAGACCATATGGGGCACAGCATGTGTTTTAGGATATAACTCAGATTTTTAAGCACACTTCATTATTATTGTTCATTTATTCGTTTGCTGGAAATTAGAACTGAATTTAGAAATAGTTTTGAAACGAATATTTGCACTTAACAAACGCAATTAATTATTTATAGACTAATTGATGTCTGTGCGTAAAGGTTTCCCTATCCAAGAGCGAAAGTGAAAGTAGATCCATTATCTCTCATTCTCGCGCAGTAGATGCTCCGTTTAACAGTTTTCTGTTAAAAAACTGTCAACTGTTTGCCAGTGAAATGCTCAGTTTTTCCACTCACACTTATTTTATCTCCATAAGCGCATTTGCTATTTACAGGACGTATATACACTTTAAGAGAAGATTTTTAATGACACAAGAGAGTCAGGACCTCGGCTTAATGTCGCATCCGAAAGACTGAGCTAACTGACAGTATAGTGTCCCCTTCCCTATACTGGGGCATTAGGACTCACACAGACCACAGGTTGAGCGCCCCCTGCTGGCCTCAATAACACCACTTCCAACAGCAAGCTGGTTTTTCCCCAAGTGTTTCTTTTGTAAATAAATTGTATATACTTTTGTGTGCAGAGTATGCAAGCTTTGAGACTGTTCTATTACCTTATTAACGGACCATTATGTTGCTTAATACCATGCCCTGTCAATCACATAATCCAAATTTCTTTTATATTTCAACTCCTATCAAAAATTGTAAGAAAAGCAAACACTATGGAAGTTAATGGTCACAAGTTTCCAGCTTTCTTTAAAATAATTTATTTTCTGTTTAACTGGAGAAAAAAGAAATTCAAAGGTTTTGAAACCACTTGAGAGCGAGTAGATTCAAGTGCAACGTACAGTGTATGATGGGTAATATTAGCTGTTACATACTCACAAATCTGCACATCCATGTGACTTTGGATTGCACATTTCAACATACTATGATTTGGGATAGAGCTCAAGATCTTTGCCCGAACCCGAAGGGACTTGATGGGTTTGGGCTTAATTTCGATCAATTTAGATAGGGTTGGGCGGGGCTTGGGTAGTAATTGAACAGTCATGTGATGCATTTCGATTAGTGCAAGATTGGATTTTACTGTGGTAACAAACATCCTTGCAAAAGGTGAAATGAATGATGACGGAGAAGCCAAAAAGAGCAAATTTCAGGCTAGCCGCTAGTTCAAAAAGAATGGTCATTCTAGCCGTCAAGGTATTTCGGCGGTCACTCATACACTGCGAAATACGGTGGAGCGCTAAACAGCAATGTACAGCAAGCTGACAGGGAAAATGATGAGTTCACTCGCTGCTGTCATGGAAAATGAAATGGATGTTCTTGGCTGGTGGCAGATAAACAAACAGTCCTACCCAAAACTTGCTAAATTAGCCAGATCAGTAGTGCATCCCGGCCAGTAGCAGCAGCAGCGAAAGGGTGCCATAGATATATACACTAGATATCACATAGGGACCCTGAGCATGCATCAATAGCGCCGCCATATTTGTACAGTGCTCCCAGGATAAGTGTCATTCAACCGCACTAGTCAAGACAGTGTTATTACGCGAAGATGCGGGACTTTAGCGCTGTCTACGGGTGTAGTAACGAGCAAACAAAGAAAACAAAGCACAAAGGCAGAACATTTCATAGGTAAGACTTCGTTATTTACGTTTTTGAATGTTATGAAGGTTTGTGCTAAACAGGTAACGTTGTTGATGATAATACAGTCACTTACTGCATTCACCATAAGGCAAAGCAGCTCCAACTCGCACTAAACACTCGGCTTAATGTTTTGTTGGATAAAATCAGCGGATAATGCAAAAGAAATATGACAACAAGATGCTGCAGTGCCAGAAACTTGTATTACTGTCTGCTAATGAAGGAGTCGTTCATAACGGAGATTTATTCACAAACAAATCGCTCCCTCCGTCAGTATGAGAGCTGAAAGCAGGAGAGGAGCTGTGTTTCAGGACATAATTAGATCAAATGTAACAGGTAGGGTGGAAAGTACATTTCCATACACAAAAACACAAGCTTTTTGTCGGCAATGCCCATGCGATCACTGATCCAATGTAGAAAAGTGATGTAAAATTATAATTTTCATAATTAAAAAAAAATTGCATATTAATTCGGGAAAACTCCCGATCATAGATATAGGTGTATATGTGTATATCTCTGGCTCTGGATGACCACAGTCCTTCATTACAGCTTGGTCCCGCATTCATTTCAAAGGAGCGCTACTCTGTACTAAAATGGTGGCTCTAATGATGCATTCCTTCTAATAGACAACAATAGGCCAGGCGACATCTGATGTATACATCTATAAAAGGGTGTTCAGTGCTGGACCACGCTAAAGCCATTTACAGTGGATTCAATAATGCTCCTCCACAAAAACATGTTTACAAAGCCTAATCTTGGTGAGTAAAGGGTTTTTAAATTATAACTAAATATTATTTAAACCATAATCATAATGTAGACTGAGTATATAGTCTAATGTTGGCATTATTCTTTTATTATTAAGCTTCACCATCGCCCTAATGCCAGATTGTATCTATTGTATGTATTTAGGCCTGTTTAGAGTGCTGAGATGTTACGATGTTACAGAGGACTTATTTTATTTCCTTGTTCAAACTCCCTAAGTGGCCTTTAGCATATGTTTGTTATGAATAAATAATGTAAAAACGCATATAAACGACTCTTTCTTGAAAAAAGGCAAAAGAGCTGTGTGCATGTGCACATTTGAATAATGTCTGGCTGTAAACGGCTTCGGGCTTTTAAAAGTCAATCAAAATGTACTTGTCGGGCTCGGGCCAAACTTCTATGGCCCTATAACAGATATAATTTGGGACACATCCAACCACGAATTGCCACTCTGACGATCCAATATATTTGTATATACAAACATATATCGTGTTCAATGGGGGGAAAAAGTAAGTGTTTATACCCAGACATTTAAAAAGAACATATTTTAGAGTAATAATCACAATGCAGTGATATTTTTATCCAAGGTTATGATACGGTCAGAACCTTAAACCAGCCCATGCCTACTTTTGGCTATTTTGAGTGTGAATAACCATTCAGAACGGATAGTATGCGTATTGAAATGCAGCATTAGTCCAGGTTTGTTTATGCTCAAGACATATTTTAGTAGTATTATTTGTAAGCACTTATAAACTCAGCTGAGCTGGAAAGAATGTTTCTAAATGGCATTTTTAAAACGTCCGAGAGCCGATTATAGTCTGATTTAGCTCACTCACCACTTTCCATTTCTTGCCGTCCAGCTCAAGCACTGGGGGCAGAGAGCGGGCCGGGCTGGCGGTGGCTGTGGGCCGTGGAGTGAAGGGTTTAGGACCGGACACTGAAGGCCCTGTCTGACCTCTGAGCCCAGGATTCTTATGGGTCTTCTGGTCATCAGACACATGCTTCAGGCCTGCAGAAGAGTTAAAAGGCACAGAGGAAAATTAAACACTAAACCCAAATCTGCATTATATTATATGCAGGCACAGAGCAGGGACAATAGAATGAAAAATGTACTTTATCAATCTTTATTATCATAAGAATAAATTATGAAAAATGATTTAATATCTAAATAAAATAAATTATTATTATTATTATTATTTTTCATTAGGCAATTATAACAGCTCTGTAACCTTATCTATTTAATAAAGATAACAGTAATGCTAATTTTAATTTATAATAATAATAAATTATAATTTATTTATAGTTTATTTTAATTTACAGATTATAAATTTATAAATAAACAACGAATAGATAATGAAATTCGTTGCCAACACTTTTAGTAATTGTTTTTTATTGATTTAATCGATTCGTTGTTGCAGCCCTAAAAACTACTACTACTACTACTGACGACAACTACTAATACTAACAAGGATTACTACTACTACTACTACTACTGAATACAAATACTACTACTACTAACAACGACTACTACTACTACTACGACAACTACTACCGACGACTACCACTACGACAACTACTACTACTACTTCTACTGACCACTACAACTACTACTACTACTATTATTAACGACGACAACTACTACTACTACCACCACCGACGACTACTACTACTACTGCTTACAACTACTACTGACAATTACTACTATTACTACTGACGACTATCAAGTTACCACTAGTTATTAACTATTATTAAATTTAATATTATTATTATTATTAATAATAATAATAATAATAATAATAATAATGATAAAAATAATAATAAAATTGTTGCACCGGTTATTGCTGTTATTATAAGTTGTAATAGTAATGAAGAAACAAATTGATAAATGCATAAATATAGAAAAAGTATTTTAATTCATTTTATTACTGCTCTTAGAATTTAAATTTAAAAAATAAAGTAAAAGCTGTTATAATGGCAGTCATTAATTTGTATCACTGTTATTAATTTTGCATAATAATAATGTCTTCAAGACTGCATTATTTGACACCAAGCCCAATTGCTTATTTAACCATGAGTACTTCAGTGACCTTTTCATATTTACTGTTGCTTTCATTACAGCACATTAAGCAGAACCAACAGCATCATTTCCAATCAGCCAAAAGCACCGATCAAAGCTTCAGTAATCAAACCTCAATCCCTCTAAAAGCAATAAAAGTGCCACTAAAAGCTCTTTGCGGCATCAAAAGCTTTTGTCCTACAACAGACGAAGTCAAAATTACTTGCCCTTCTGTGAATTTTTTTTTGTCAATTATTTCCCAAATTATGTTTAACAGAGCAAGGAATTTTTCACAGTATTTCCTATAATATTTTTTCCTCTGGAGAAAGTCTTACTTGGTTTATTTCGGCTAGAATAAAAGCAGTTTTTAATTTTTTTTCAACTGTTTTAAGGTCAATATTTTTAGCCATCTTAAGCTATATTTGTTTCGATAGTCTACAGAACAAACCATCGTTATACAGGAACTTCCCTAATTACCCTAACCTGCCTAGTTAACCTAAATAAGCCTTTAAGTGTCACTTTAAGCGAAATACTAGTATCTTTAAAAATATCTTGTCAAATATTTACTGTCATCATGGCAGCGATAAAATAAATCCGTTATTAAAAATGAGTTTTTAAAACTATCCTGTTTAGAAATGTTAAAAAATCTGCTCTCTGTTAAACAGAAATTGGGGAAACATATACAGGGAGGGGCTAAAAATTTAGGGGGACTAATAATTCAGACTTCAACTGTATATCAAGCTGTAATACCTTTAGTGATGTCAGATCCTTTGTTGATGGAGGCAAAGAGAGCATTTCGATTGGTCGGTTCGGAGTCTCCACCTGATGACTTGTTTAGGTCCATTGGGGGTGGAGGAGGTCCTGGAGGAGGCGGTGCTGGGGCTCCTCCTCCAGCAGCAGCAGCTACGGGACCCTAAAAAACAAAAACAATTCAATATGTAGGATTAAAAATATATAGAGAATAAATTGTATGAACACAATATGAATTTTATATGTACACTGTGTATATACAGTTGAAGTCAGAATTATTATTCCTCCTAAATTATTAGCCCCTGTAAACCTTTTTCCCAATTTCTGTTTAACGGAGAGAAGATTTTTCAACACATTTATAAACATAATAGCATGATAAACATTAATAACTCATTTCCAATGACTTCAACTGTTCAACTTCCAATAACATCAACTGTTTTAATGTATATCTGTGCAGCAAAAAAACTGAAGATGAATGGGACTCACAGTCTTGCTCCAGCTCAGTCCAGTGGTGTGGTGCTGCTTGATGTAGGCTTGCAGCTCTGTCCAAATGGTCACATAAGCATTGACCCATTCCACATGAGTCTTATCCCTAAAAAGACAATAAAGCAGATAGGGAAAGGATTAATAAACCGCTTTGCTGGTGTACAGAAACAATGTGTTCAGATAACAGACACGTACTTCTCCTTGTAATCCTTGAGCACACGGTTTGTGTAAAACATGGCTGCGTCCTGCATCTCCTTCACATAGGGGCCAGGCTTTGGGGCCTAAAACATCGAAAAGATTCCATAAACCTTTTTCAGACTGAAAAAAAACTCATGCAGCAAGAAAACCAAAGACTTGAAAGTATTTAATAAACTTCAGCCAAGTTTAATTAGACCACCTTTTAGAGCTTTACAATCAAACTATTTCCAGATAATCTGGAAAAAAAAATTCAGTGTGTAGTGTGAACAGAACAAAACTGAACTACTACTTATTGATGTTTCTATAGAATTGCTTCTATAATGAGTCAGACCCCCTAGTTTTTCAAAATCGCTGAATCCAACACAAAGATCAACAAAGAGTCACAAGTTTTTGCGATCCTGGAAAATTCTCAATTAAACGCAAAAAAATAAAAAATAAAAAAATGCAAATAATCTCATAAAACATCAAATTCCAAACCATATAATAAAATGATATGTTTTAGTTTGCAATTTAATGTTTTTCGTAACTTATAGACGTGGCAAACACAGTGCACGTGATGTATGGGACTGTCTCTCGAATAATGAATAGGCATAGTATAACAGTTTCTCAAGCAGTTTGTGATGCATTTTGGAAACAGGAGATGAGCCCCTGGTCTAATGCGCCACCTGGCTTGAGAAACCCGCTCTCAAAGACTTACTTTTAGTCTTTATTTGGGTATCACACACATTCTAAATGCCCTCGGCGGAATTCAAATGAGCCATTTTAATCTAGATTAATTCCAAGATTACCTTGAGATTAATCTAGATTTTAAAAAATGAATCTATGCCCACCTACAATTATAACATTAGTTTTTAATATCCTCTTGCATATCAATTATCACGTTGTTCAAAATCACACAGCCATACTGTATATAAATTTCAGCCTCTAATTGCTGAGAGCCATTGACTTGCATTTTATAAATTTAATTTTAATGACTAAACACCAAGATAAAATAAAAAAAGGTACATTTTAAACATTTTAGCAAATGGTCAGTTTAACCCAGAAAGTATTGAATGCTATTAAAGCAAGAAACTTTCTTGCTAGTGTAAAAGTCCCATTATAGTTTCATTTTTAAACAGAGCCCCAGACTGTCCGGTCTTACCATGGCAACCCAGCCGAGAGCAGGAACACTTTCGCTGACGGCAGAGAGGTGGTTGAAGAAAGGAGAGGAGCGGTTCTTCTCTCGAAATGCCTGAACATCCTGGATGGCTTTAGACACGGGGGCCAGCAGAGCATTCAGAACAGGCTGCACACACAACAGACAGAGACAGAGGGAGGAAAATATCATTAAATGATTTATTCAAACTTGATAGTAAGAGCAGATAGTAAGAGCAGTAATTACATTTAGGTGAGTCTTCGTTATAGAGTAGATACAAATGAGTCAACCTAGAATTTGATATCTAGTATAGACAGTTTGATCATGCCTGGTCTCAAAATTATAATTTTATAAGCGTCTTTCATTTATTTTGAGGTTAATTTCATGTAATTTTGATTGTTAAAGCATAACAAACATTCAAACTAAAATAAAATACCAACCTAAACATTTCTAATCGTTCTTTACACCTTATCTAACTATGCAGCACAATGCAGCTTAATCACACTCACATCAGAGGGTTTCTGAGAGCAGGAAGCAGTGGCCAGCAGCTGTCGTTGACTGGTAAAGGCCTGCTTCATCATCTCAGCCTATAACACAGAAGCAAAGACTCTGAGTGCACTCGTTATCAATGCAAACCAGTGATCAGAAACAATAATCACATCGCATTACGTACATGCTTCAGGACGTCACCCCCTATCTTCTGACTGAGGGTAAAGTACTGAGCCAATGGACCAGAGATCAGGCCGTCATAGGCTTCAACGTACACTCCCACGGCTAAAGAGAAGAGGAAAAAAAAAAAAAAAAAGAGCAGTTGCATTATCATGACCATTCAATATTGGAAACATCTGACATTGCAATGTTTAGTTTTTCTGCGATATGAATATAATTGCACCAGATTAACTTAATAGCTCTATTCGGAAAGATTTCATTCATGTAGATAGTTTGGGATGATCAAGTCTTCTTTGCAGTGCATCTGCATAAACTATAAAAAATTACAAGCATATACAAAAGATCAGAGATAAAAGTGAAATATACAGTGCTTTATGGCAGGGGTTTTCAAAATGAGGTCCGCGGACCCCTGGTGGGACCTAAGAGAGTGCTAGGGAGTCCGCGAAAAACTTGGCAGAAAAAAAAAAAAGATTTACGAAATATTTTTTTTCCAATCCTAAAATTATTTATGACTCTAAATTATTAATCTATATATAGTTTTATGATTTATATAAGTGGATACTTAATTTGTATGTGTTTATCTCAAAATCCTTTGAGCTCTTTAAGGTTTTGCATAGAGAATGGGGCAATTACCGAATGGAGCAATTAACGGCTATAAGTGCAGGACAGATGATGGAAAGATTTTTAGAGAATCCCGATAGACCCCAGTGTGTTCTTTGTCAAGAGATTCTCTCCAACGAATGCATGAAACCATCTAAGCTCAAGCGCCATCAGCAGAAACATCCCAATGAGGCAGAAAAATCAATTGACTATTTCAAACATCAGGGTTGGTGTTTGGCCCGGCAGGCTAGTATTTTTCGGCAGCAAGCATTAATCCCTGAGAGGTGTTTAAAAGCATCAAATTTGGCATCACTCCATATTGCGCGTGCTAAGAAGCCGCACACAGTTGGCGAAGCATTGTTATTACCCGCTACCAAAGACATCGTCAAAAGAGTTATTTGGAGAGGAAGCGGTATGAAAGGCACAGTAAGCAGACGCAGAAGTTTGATGTAAATATTTAGCAGTTTTCCATAAATACAAGACAGGGGGAAAAAAAACCCACAGAAACTACAAATGTTACAAATGTCCAGGTTTAACTTTTCATCAATCAGTGCCTTTTTTAGAAAACCTATCATGTTCAGTTAATGTAAATATTTTGTTGTTGTTTTTGCTTTTTTTTTAATGAAATATAAAATATCTGACAATCATTTTTGGCTTTAGTGAGTTGCCAACTAATAATATAATTAGTTTTAAAAACAATACCATTTTCAATGCCTGTGAAATATGAACTATAATGTCTTTACGTCATACAGATTTTTTGTTTACATATTTATACTTGAAATACACTAGTGCCTTTAAACTTTAGGCAAAAGAATCATCATATTTGGGGGCCCCAGAGATTAAAAAGTTTGAAACCCCCTGCTTTATGGCATGTATTCTGGAGAGTCTAATTCAGGTACATAAATAGAACTAAACAAAATAACATGGTCATCTTTGTTTAAACAGTTTGAAAATAATAATATCTTTATGTTGTAATATTTAATAAATAATCCAATCCTGCGATTAGAGCATTCACACATTGCCATATCGAGGCTCAAACGATGTATTGTGCAGCCGTAATCATAACACAAAAACAACACACTCAGAAACAAGCACTCAAAATGTCACAATGGTAGAGTTTCACTATGATTGCAAAAGTGGCTGTTGAGGTAACTTGAGGTCCTGATATTGTCTAAGTGAAACTGAAGAATCAACTGGTGTGGCGTCATTTCCTAGAAATCCAGGACAAAACCAAATAGTTGATTTTGGGAGTTTAAAATGGCTTGAAACTTGACAAATTTTCTAGAAAAGCTAATTATGGAAGTTAAACACTTCTCTAACTCCTATTGGTCCTAAGGGGATTAGATAATAAGTGGGTGCGACTCAGTGGCCCCGCCTACTTTAACCTGATAATCTATTTATGTACTCATTTCTGA